AAGTAGCTATCACAAGTGGAAGAAGAAATAAGGTGGGCATTTATTCAAAGGAAATAATGTCAAGTAGCTGAGCTCACTTAGCGAAGGCCTCCAAATAAACCACTTTATAGTGCCTGGTGATTTTGACGGACAACGGAATGTGCCCTGACTAACGCCTGCTTGCTTTATTTGTAGCAAATGTGCATTCACAGGTGGTAATTTGCGGTGCGGATATAATGTGCTTTGAAGTTTATTTGTCTCACTTAGAAAAGTTGCAACTTACGAAATTTAAAAAAGTTTCAACATACGAAATTGCTGAATACTCCTGCCGTTTTGCCAGTAGAAATGATTACTGACAAGTTAGGCGGTTGGTAAACACTCATCAAATTATTAAATTGTTGTCAAACAATAGTTGCTTAATTCATAGTTAATTTTCAGGCTTTGTGAAATATATAGTTGAAAAAAGTTGATATTGCGTATTAATGTGATTTACACAAAAAACACAACCTATTGCAATGTCAACGATCGAAAACGTAAACTCTCACTGTTCTCGCTTCGAATGTGTGCCTCTTGTCCTCAAACATTACAGAACAAAAATGTATGTGACTACAGATACGGCGTTGGCCCTGTACAAAGTTGCCACCCGTAGCTCGTGACCCCCTGTTCACTGCTGCTAGAAGCTGGTTTGACCCTTTTAACAGGATAGGCTTTTGGTAAACGCTGTAGTAGCAAAATGTAAGGGCGAAGAGCCCAAAATTGTACTATGAATGTGGTATGAGAAACAACTATAGTTATTACATACGTATTACCTACGAGGCGCTAAGCAAGCTAGCCGAATATCGACAGCACGTTCTTCGAGGCGGATACGTGCAGATCTATCGCTACTAGTTTTTTTTTTAGGTGCACCTGAAACTGTTAAGATGTCGAGGGTAGCATTCTAGTAGTAGTTCCCTTAGGCGACTGGTCGTCAAGCCGCGGTATACTTTGCGAGGAACGAATGATGGGCCCGTCTTCCTTGATGACAATTGCGTTCAGGGTACAATAAAAGCGCAACTGAGTGGTGAAAACCTTGTCTAAACGACTATTAGAATGAAGAATACCTTAGCAACCTTGACAGTGTCTAAAAATCGGCCGTGGAATTCGATAAGGGGTACATTTATTTGTATGCAGATATCGCAAGGCGTTTTTATGCGGTACAGTGCGAACAATCATGTTAAAAGAATCTAACCCAAAGTTGAAAGAGTTTAATCATATTAAAAGAAAATGTACATGATCTTCAGTAGGTTGGTAAAGATAAGAGCGATGTTCTACAATGACCAATGTTCTTCTCAAGTTCAGAGGCGAAATGAATCGGGCGCAATTTTGTCAATGGATCGATATTCTGACATAACAAATATTAGACGGTCATGAATATAGCATGGGGACCGATTGGCTGTTACAACCTGAGTGAAGACGGATCTGGTTCTATATTGTTACCATCTGCGCTTTTATTTCGTCGCTTGCAGATGATCGTACTAGTCTTACTAATCACTTTCTTACTTCATGTCACCAGAAGGGTTTCCCAGTTGGTTTTCTAACAATTTCTTTCTTGCTATAGTAGTGTTTCAAAAGTCCCTTCTTCAAAGTCATCTTTATTTTTGAGAAAGTTCTCGCATTAAGTGAAAGGAATTGGAATTATTCTCCATAGTCGATTATCTGTCACCCAACAAAGACGAGTATACATAGCGGCATGCGTAAGCATGTGAAATCTTGACTTGATTGGCTAGTAAGTAGCACTGAAATGCATAACATAAACGAATATTGGCTTGGTTCGACAAATTTCAAATCATGTCCCAGCCGGTATTGTTGCGTTCTGGCGCGCACAATTTAAACCCTCAAAAGAATTTTTAAACTTTTAAATTTGGAAATGCATTTTGCCTTGCCTATGTTCATCATTTTGGAGTTTAGCCGTCAAACCAATCAATTCGCTAAATAAAACGAATCGTTTATGACATCGTTGACACAAGAAGTATATTGGATTGTTGAAAAAGTATAGATCGTTTTAAACCAAAATTGAGTAAATACTTTTTATATTTTAAAATATCTCTAAACTAAATATGTTTTATGTCGATTTATGATGTTTTTCAATTTTTCTGGTAATATCATCATAATCTATAGAACTTCAGTGACTTACTAAAAATAAATTGCAGCAAATGATTTTTGCATCCCTCGATTGAAACCACATTGACATTAAGAATGTTATATAGATACTGAAATGGGTGATAGTCTGATAGTGCAAGAGCCGAGTTATAGGACAGATACAATATAATCTTCTACCTAAGCTCTCTCGATTTTTGCCTAGTAACTGAAGATCTATGTTGTCTGGCATTGCCATACCGGAAAATAACGCTTTTTTTTATTGACTAGGTCTGATCGATTTTTCCAATGGCTTTTGCAAGTTTGTTAGTTTTTCATTGTAAATATCCGAATCGTCGTTATTGTTGTCGAAGTTATCACCAAGCGGACGAATCGGAACGGTCGTTTTTTTCCAATCCCGTCAAACACATGGCATCGTTTCAACTGTTGCATAAGATATATTTTTCGTTAGCCGTCATCTGACGCTTCAGCCATGCCTCAATTTCGCTGAGTTTCTGCTAAGTTTTACAAATCGAAATACAATGGGGTAAATTCATTTGCATCAATTTGTGGTACCCAAACATCGAGCTTTTTTGTAGCCAATTATCTTTGTATGGCTTAAACCTCTTTGTTAGTGGATGTACAATCGAAATTTCCTGTGCAAACGAAAGCGAACCATCGTCGGGCAGTGATTTACCGATAATGCATCTTACCCATAAATAGCACATATATCTTTCCATGGGTCTGGGTAACGTTCTGCTTTTATCGTAACAAAATGCTGATATATAGCGATTTTTGTAGACATTTCACTCATGTTTAAGGCGTTTTTTTCTAAAATCTGAATAAAGATATTCCAGTAATGGTAACACATCTACTACTGCCAAATCTCAGCTTTCAAATGACAGCAAAGCCTGCAGGACTCATATTGCGCTATATAGGTAATGTTAAAGCAATTTAGCTAGAAAAACGATCAATACTTTTTCGACAAATTGATATGAACGCAAAGCACTTTCGACATATATATATGCATTGTGTCTTGTATGCGTCTAAAACACACATATATAATGTATATGTATTGCACAGACGTAAAATGAAGGCTCTCAATCTATCAAGAGGGTTTTGCCTCGCCCCATTTATATATGCATATATGAACTTAAGACACTACCAAATATAGAAGATGATTAGAAGTCGAGTTAACTGTGAGCAATTGCTGCAGACGCTGGTCTGGCGGTATGCCTATACGAGCCACTAGTCACCTTATTTCATGTATTAGGTTAGTAAAAAAAAAATAGTGGCTATTTACTTAGCAAATATCACATAATTTTACTTTTTACAAGACAAAACAACACATAATTTAACGACAAATGTCATTTTGTACAAGTTTTACGAATATCTCACTTGATTTATATATTCCGCTGTGGCAGAAAATTTCAGATCTCATATTGAAGAAATCATTCTATTAGTTTTTGGCACTGTCTTCGTTTTTTTAATGGATGCTTATGAATTTCATTTGATAACGAAAAGTGATGATACATCAATGCTAACTGTCGAGAGTCTGGTGGGTGCAAAGGGACCTCCCACTCAAGCTCTTGTAATATGCCTTCAATGACTTTTGTGATGTGTGTCTGGCATTGTCATAGGGAGAAATAACTTTGATTTATCTCTAGTGCGTTCATTGTTGGATAGGTTCGCTTACTTAATATACTTAGGCCATATGCACATCTCTGTTCATTTTCTTATCCTTATGAAGCATCTCTTAATTTATAAAATCATTTTTCGATGAAGCTTCGGCTTAACACTAACGCGTATGTCTAGGAGCTTTTTAGCGTAGACAAAATGCAAACCTAATTAAGTGCAACACTGAATGCGTTAATTATATGTGAAAGAAAATAAGTGCCCACAATGTTTTCTTCACCTGAAACATTCACCTTTCGAGCCTCAACTCTAGAGGAAATAATATTCGCAACCTTTGATAATCGTCGTGTGCAGAAGAGCGTTTTCCAGTAACGTATACAGAGGTAAACAAACAAAATATAGGTAAACATTTTCATAGACTATACAATTTCCGGAAATAACGCGTAAGTTTACATGCATTCATTGTAGTAGATTTCGTTAAAAAGTTTTATTTTTATCTGCAAGTGTAGCATATTTCGGCGTACCCAACTCGTAGATGTTATACATCAGACGTCCATGTGATATAGCTAAACAGTTTGTCACTCTTCAGTGACATTCGTATTAGGGATAAAGCATCAACTCGAAGCTGTTATAAACTAATAGAGGTAAATTTATTGGCGTTTCGTTTAACTTTCTATTTAAATGTAGTGCTATATGATCTGACGATTTAACCGTGCTTCCACTATCATTAGGGTCGATGTACTAACAACAAGAAAGTCATTGACTCGCTGCCGATGACTTTTAGGTCAGAAATGTCGAATTAGCAACCACTGCCTATTTCCTCCAAGGCGTTTGGATTTGGGCGGTTGGGATAAAACGTTTTAACGCATGTCGACACCATATTATCTTAAACACCTGCTTAACTTTAGGGTTCTGTTTTAACTCATGCCATTCACCTGCAGAGTTTCACTGTAATCAACATGGCCGATCATTTGTAGATGACTGAGGTTTTGCCTTAGTGGGTAGTTTTGGTTTACACTGACGATGTCCCCCTTCCCCCACCTTGAGATATCTACTCAAGCAAAGATGTTTTGTTGCTTTAGTATTGCACAAACATCGGCACATTGGTGTGCGCCTGCATTAACGTGTAGCCAAAATGATAGCTTGTTCGTATACAATCTACCCTTGTAATATTGTGTGCGGAACTGTCGTAGGTTTTTGACGCATTTGCGAAATCACTGTTCGCTATTTTCCCTTTCCATTCTTAAAGCCTTCGTTAAGGCACCTAAGGCATTGCGTGACGTTTGAGCTTCTCGCCTTTCACTGTGGCGACATCAGATTGAAGGCCATTATCAACGCAGTTTCGGCCGTCCTATATGCGCTATGTTTGCCTGAGCCACTGCTATTTGGCTTTGAAAGTCCGGAGGGAAAGTTGTCATTAACATAGCTACCATTAGTCTCCAGCATTCATCGCTTTTAACATGGGGTTTGTACGTAATAGAAGACAGCGCATATAAGGCTCGTTTGCCGGAAGGTCTGGCGAAGCTTAGCGAGGGTCGACTGAAGTGTTGGATTTCACTCGTGTATGAAACTGAGCTGTGCAAATGGATACTTCGGTGGTATGCAAAAGTCAGCAAAACAATTTATCACCCAACATGAGAGATCAACCAGCTGGTTAATGATGGATACGGATCTGCAAAGGAGAATCAGCCTAATACTATCAAATAGCAGTTGTCTGAAGAGGGTTTTAACGGCTTATGTCTATTTGACGCTGATAGTGATTGCCAGAAGTTAGAGATTCTTAAAATGCACAAAAATGGACCGGAGAAATTCGTCAATCCCTTCGGTTGAAGTGGTGTCCGAGAGATATCATTCAAGAAAAACATCAGTACTACATAACGGTTACGGTACGTATAGATGATTCTTAGTAAAATCTAGCTTAAGCTTGACGTGTTGTGTAAAAAAGAGAGGAGATTTAAGTTTATTTTCGACAAGTAAACACTTAAATGCTAATTTGATGCTTTTGTTTGCTTGTGGTCAATATGAAAATGATCATCGAATAGATCAAGCGATCCAATGTTTTTCCTACTTATCGATTACCACGGCGCAGTGATTTTTGCTGGATCACATAAAAGCTCTTACTGACAATACATTGTAGTTCAAATGCTTTTACATAGAGCAAAAAACTCTGTGAACATTTACCATCCACATAGTTGATCTTACGCTGTTCTCCAAATACCGAACTAAATTCCCCCAAATATCAGATTTTTTTTCTAATTTTCATAAACTATTTCAGACTCTCAACCGTTATTTGTCAAATTGAATAATATGTGTACGACATATTATATATCCGGTTTATCATTCGCCATGTTTGACATCTGAAGGAAAGAATTAGGTTGTGAGAGTCAATCGGTAACTAGTATATACTGGTATATATACTGGCCAGTGGTTGACAGAGTACCAGAGGTATTACATTTTGCCGAGTACTTGGAGTTGTATTCATCATATCTTTCCGTCGAAGTAGTGTTCCCATCTGACCGTACGAGACAGCCTAATATATCCAAATAGAAAGGTAATGAACTCAACTTTATCGAGGCGTTACATAAGCATGTAAGTCGTAGAAAGCCTATTATAGAAATATGATAGACGTTTCAACATTTACGTAACTATCTGTAAATGTGAATTTGTTTTGCATCAGCTGTGAATCATACTATTGAGTGGCTGACATATACTAAATCTTTCTAGAACAATGCATTTTGTCTGCTGTCATCGTAGCGTAGAATGGTGTTTTTATCAAAAAAGTATCGCACAGATTGATAAAGTAAGGAACGATGATTGTTTAAATTTCGTTTCATTAATAAGAATGAATGTAATGTATCAGGTTGACTTTTATGGGGCGTCATTTTTCAACGCTGATTCATTCAAAGGAGTTAATTCTATAGGTTAATTTCTATCTTGCCTGAATCCATCCATTATTGTGATGTTTATCCAAATACGTCCGTTGATGGAATACGTCCATTGGAGCTATCAAACACGGAAAGGTGCTATCTACTAGAAACAAGATTAAGCGTCTGCCTGACTTTTACCTAATAACGTTATTCTCATCTCCATTATTATATTGGTAATTTGTTGTACCGTTTAGCATGATACTGGGCGCCCGCTAAGAGGTGTTACATGAATTATGTTTGCAGAGTTGGCCTCTGGGTAAGTTTAGGTTGTGCTACGCACTATCCTTTCTGTGCCCTCGCCTTTTGCTCTCCTTTCTTTTCATCAAAAGCTGTAAAAAATTTTAAACTAAGTCATATTATACGATATGTAAACAAACGCATTCACTATTAGTATGCTTTAGTGGGTTATGGTTCAATTTAAAGCAGCAACTCCTAATGGATGATCACAGGAGCGCCACGCGCGCATTAATATGCCGATCGATCTTATTATAACCAGACGGATATCTCATTTGACCTTCAGAACGTCGATTCGATTAGTTGTAGCCGTTCTATACAAATCAAGAGGGCCAAATCAAAAAGGCCAAGAATATTTACAGGTGTGACGGCACTAGGTCGAAGCAAAGTTAGGCCAACTTACGCAGAACGATGCGTCACTATGTAACTATCCGTTAATAATTAGCTACACTCACTTCTTTTATTTCTTTCAATTCAAAATTCATTCAAAATTAAATTTATCATAAATGTATATTTTGTTTAGTTGTTGCGTACTAAAATTACCATACTTAAATGTTAATTTCATTTAGTTAATAACAATGATCTTCATATAAAACGATTTGTTGGCTATCCGTACTACATGTGGCATGCCAATCGCATGCACAGTCTCGTGTCTTTTGTGGCCATCTGGCAGGTCTGCGATAAAAAGCTTGTTTTTATCTCGACTCTGCACTTGGGCCTTTACTCGACTTCTTCCAATTTAGCCTTCACGGCCTACAATTGTTCGCTAACTGCTAATTCACAAGCTGCGTTCTAATTCACAAGCTGCGTTCCAAGGTATATGAAACTTGTGCAAAATCGTACACGTAGGACATTGTACGTTGAGGGTACTGTTTTAGGGGCTAGGCGTTTCAAGATTTAAATCCACAAGCCGTTACGATGTTAGTCATATTGAATTTTCTCTTCAGACAAATCTCTGCTCTTTTAATAAGTATTAGTGTGAGTAATTATGGCGTTTATCATTGCTAATAGTAACAATACTTGTCTTTCATAATGTGTGACCATTCAGTTCGATTTATTACGTTGGACTAATTATGCCACCTTTTTTTGATGAAGGAGTTCTTGTTTATTATGCTTGGGTATTCTTTTTCAGTTCTTCTATCGCTGCCGGTAGCAATAGGGTCCTTCTGTACCGATTTTCAGTTGAACTATTGTTGATAACGTTGACTCGCATAGTATGCAAAAACATGTAACTTGTCAATAAGACTAACCCTGCACGGAATAAAGCGTTTTGTTAGGCCCGACGTTAATTTTGGCGCTTCATTTGAGGTTCATGCGAGCTATATGCATGGCCGGCTGGATGCTTCGGTACGTTTGCGATTTCAAACACAACCATACTTGCCATAAAGATTAACTATATCTGCAGTAGACTGTTCCGGATATGTCAGAGCTTGCATAAGGCTTCTTACATGTTCTGAAAATGACGTAAGACTTGATCTTATCTACTGCTGTCTTATCTACCTAGGCTCGTGGCTGTTGCGTTTTCAACGTGAACAAATATCCCTAATGATACCTTCCGGTCTGTTGATAACGAATCGTCAGACCACTCATTGCACTGCTGTTTTTCGCATCCGGATGAAGGATGAGTAAATGCTTGCGCACTCATTCATTCTGATCACACCAAGCAACAAAAAAGTACTTGTGACTTCCCTTTGCCGAACGGTCTGAGGACACCTAGGGCTGTGGTCTTTATACGCTTCCCCAGCTGCAACGGCAGCAATGAACCATCCGTTCATATCGTCCCTGTAGGTGGACCGATGACTGTGCGGTTAGACTGGCCGTTACTTACTTATCTAAAAACAAAAGGCAAAGAGAAGTTTTCGACATCTAGGCGACACTGCGCGGCGGTGGGTGCTGTGTAGCCATACTAGATGAGACATTAAAGTCGCGAGGTCACCACAATTACTACTAATAATCAAGGGCAGAGTAAGCGCCTCTAACCCAGCGCACCTTGACTGGAAACTGAACTTGAAAATAGAACTGAGCGGGCTAATGCCAAGAAGATGACTGACCCAACTGTCGAAAGGTCATATCGTACAAACAATTTCATTTGAGTAATCCAAGCGAAATCTGTATCATGTATATATGTTATTTGTTTATTGGCAAATATTCTGTGCCAGTAGGATTGGGAGCTATATTATACACTTCAATTTTAGTATCATCGATACTCATTTGTCGTCATTAAATTATGTGGTTTTTCTAGTTTGACACCAACCATGACGTGTAGAAAGTGGACACTAAGTTACCACAAATCATAAACACTTTGTCCGTAGATGATCGGTGCCCCATAAGGTTTTTTCTGTCATTGTCGTTAATTTTCTGTCTATGTTGCGGTATACAATATTGGTCAACATATGCGATTGAAGCTACATTGGGACTTGACTCTTGGTGTTTGGCGCGCTCATCTAAGTGTTCCACGATGCCTTTAATTTCTGCTCGTACCTATGTAACCAAAAGTTTGGACCAAGAGACTTCTGCAGTTTTTTTGTCTCTCATACTAAATTGCGATTTTTCACGCCGTCATCGACTGCTATCCCAAGTATAACTATCATTACAGGAATCAATGATGAGGATGATAATGCTCGGGCAATCTTACCCTGTACGCGTTATATTCGTACTAAGATTATGTATAATGCAAGTACAAAGGTTTGAGCTTGATCTTTACCCTATGCAATGGCCCCTTATTACAGTAATTGCATTATAATACATATATTCTCTCTCTCTCTCTACTACTATATAAATGTGCTCTTATGTCGCTGCAGAGTGACCGAATGTTCAAAGTTTTCGTAAACACTTGAAACATTTGAAATTTTTCTATTCTCATTACGCGTATTTATACTGGGCTTGCCGTAATAGATAGAGCTGTGCTTGAACGAGTTTTTATTTCTCTTTAAACTATCATCTTTGTTTGGTACCATCGAAAAGTCTCCGCATGGGCTGTAGCCCTGTGCACTTTCATTAGTGGCATTCGTGTAATCAAGATTCCGTACACAGCGCAAATAACACGCGAAGGAAGGGTCTGCCTTACCCATTTGTATCCTCTATGACAGCTTTATGTAACACTACTCGGCAAGGATACATTCATGGATGTTCCAAAGGCATGCATGTTATAACGAGATCTGTGCAGTGATCCGTCAGCGACTTGATTAGGAGAAATATGTCAAGGGTTACAATGTCATAAACAAATAATCGATCTGAAACTATTGCAAAGTATAATGCGTATACACTGAACGGCACTAAAGGAACATTTACAAACAATTTATGTAACTATGTGTTTATATGTAGATCTTAACTAATGTATAAAATTCGGCGGAGTGATATTACTATCTATACCGTTTCATGAGTTAACCTTTTTTTTTTTTTATTAAAGAATGAATCAGACCTAATCGAGCTTGTACATACACACAGTTATCTTTTCAGTATTTCGATTCCAAAAAATGTATGATTATATAACTGAATAATCACCCTAACTAATGATAAACTAAATAACCAATAATCTGTTTTCCATACATGGGCAAGAATTCTTAAATCAGTTTTCATGACGCGTATTGTAAACAAAGTCGTTATCATCTACTTATGTGTACAGTTATTCAGTATTTCTGAGAAATCGGCATCTGTTTTCTAATAAGTTATTCAGATATAAGATCTGAAGTAATATTTAATACTATTAATTAAATTGACCTTTAAGCTTATTGCCGTTAGTTCGGTATGGTGTAAGATATTAACAACTGTTTAAAAAAGCTGTTTCTGGGTTTGGTATATTTGGTAATGTTTTTTTAAACATATTACGTTTGTTGCTCACTTCTTCGTTGTGTAGTATATTATAGAGCTGACTATTACAGAATAACTTAGTGAGGTGGTAATGACAACTTACTTTGATTTCTTCTATTGAATTTCAGAAACCGACCTGGTTCATCTAGGCCAACTAGATGCGGCTGATTTCAACAAGTTTTTGTCTCGGATTGCCACATTTTTCAATGAAGAAGGCGTCGTAAGTGTCTCTGAAGTAACTGTACAAAACAAGTCAAAAAGATTTTGATTACACATAAACGAGAAGAATTCTGCCATTGTCTTTCTATTGTATAGTTTTCCCCATTCCAATTAGCATCTACTGATTGCAGCGTAACTTATAACCCGTTTTGTTACTTACTTATTTTCTAATTTCTCAAAAACTAGTGATCGCTCCAAAAAGAGTTTAGTTTAAATCTATTTGACAGCATTCGTTTTCACGCAAGATTTTTTAGCTGTTCCTTATTTCTAGTAGCAGCACTTACTGCGATGGACGCATGATCTAATACCTAATTTATTATTAGATCATTTCTTACTAGTGATGCCGCTTCTCCCTTTACGAATATTTCGGATTTAAAACAGAATCATCATTGGTTATCGAAACCACCGTCGCTTTCTCCACCCAACTGTGCGATGTTCGGGTGGCGGCTGACGTCGTGCAATATGCTCACGTGCGAATTGTGTGGTTCAAAGCTTTTCGCGGAGGTCAGTGCAAAACTGCCTGCCCATATCGGTAAGCAAAGATATATATATATATATATATATATACACTGTAGATCTAAGATAAGTAAGATGGTTACTGATTGAGTTATCGCAAATATATATATATATATATATACATATGCGATGTATGCATAACCGTAAAAGATTGCATTGTTATACATAGCACGCAAATGCCTCAAGGAAATCGAGCGAAATCTTCGTTCAGGCCATACGAAGGGTTGTGCGTTTCGTTTTGCTCCCTGTCCGGATCACTTCAAATATATCTCGCCCACCGCAGCGGCAGCACTAGTAGCTGCTTTTGAACAGCGGCTTGAATCACTTAGTGTGCTTAAGCAGGATCTACCTTGTGTGACAATGGATGAATTTGATCAGCTTGATAAAATCAAACGTGATAGCGATCTCAAGGTAAGTCATGCCATTTCTGATTTTTGATGAAACTCGTTATGATTTAAATATTCGTATCAACTATTAAATAATAGTCAAAATAGAGATAAAAATGTATAGTATGTTGTGTCTAGGCGGCTTTTTTTTTTATGTATGGTTGACTCCATTGGGCGCTTATGGGTTGTTCCTTTACAGGATACACCGACGGAGTTGGTGATCCTAGCGCTTCTTGGTTGGGAGCACCACTCAACGGCGTATAATAAATTTGTATTCATCCGATGCGGTTTCTGTTTTCGTAAAGTTTGTACGATGTTTTACCGAAAGCTAACCAGGTACACGATCATCACCTTACTAAGTGAATATTCAATTCTATTCCATTTCTTCATTTACAATATCATAGCATTCAATATGTAAATAATGTCACTACAGCGGCTGCATATACTTACTACTTTATGGATGATACCATGGAATTGGTACTAGCGCGCTCCTATTTCAGATGCGCTTCGATGAAACTGTTTAGAATATAAAGTTTCGAAAAAAAATCATATATACCTCAGCCGGTATTTTTCGCAGTATTATTTCGCTTCGACATGGTTATAGGGCATCGCAAACAAAACAATGAAGCAAATACTTCAACAAAGAGTATCTAAACAAAGCAAACAGTAACATTCTACACATGTCTTTAGTAGCAATAATCATACAAATCGGTCAACAGAAATCCAATTCCTAAAAACTAAAGATAATATTAAGTTTTTTATTGATTTCTCGTACAGAGAGGAGGAAGGCCTTGTCGAGGAAGCGCAACACAAGATGTGTGAAGAGAGCCAAGCTTCCTCGCCGGCGGGTGGTACTAGCGGAGTTTCCGGTGATAGTGACCAGCCCAATTCGTTAGAAAGAAAGCGCAGAGGCTCGAAGGATATTCTTGAGGCGAGAACCATCGTGCAAGGCGGAAAAAAGAAACGACGGCCACAGGATCAATTGAATCCTTTTTTCGAGCATAGATCCTGGTGTGCATGGATCTCGAAGGAGTGCAGGGACAGTCCGCTTGGTTGGAAGGTGCTTCTCGATCTCCTCGTTAATCACCATAAACGTCTTCAGGACGGCAGGGCGATAAACAATAGTAATTTGATTTTAATCAATTGATACGTGTAGATATCTGGAGGCTTACATATTTAACAAACGTATATTTTTTTCGACCCAATACCGCTTATAGATAATTGGATTCGAAGTTTTGCCAGTATATATACAAGTTTTTACCCTCTTATGAGTGTAGTCAGCTATGTTTCGTGAATCTAATGTGGTTCTCAAAATATCTTATCACAAATAAGACCATCTATTGCGCAGGTTCTCGTGCCTATTGTTCAAGATATTGAAAACAAGTTAGCCCAGTTCGACAAAGCACCACCGATTGACTGGGACGCAGCTGTAAAAAGGCTGAACAGTTACGAAAGGCAATACCATACTGCCATCGAAACTGCAGTAGCATGCACAAGGACGACATCAGGAGTTAAAAGGAGAGATCCAAATCGAGAATCTGACGATATTCCATTCAACTATTACGTGCCACTTTTAAATGATTTTGATGTTGGGAAAATTCTTGGCAGAGGAAGCTTTGGAGCGGTTTACGAGGCAGTACGTATTTTTTTTATCCTTATCTGTAAATAGTTACAAGTCCTACAATTACTTGAATGTGTAATTGTTTTGGGATATAGAACCTAGTTGACCAAAAAAGCGTAGCAAAAGGAGGTTCGTTTTATGGCCTACAGTGACTAAGTGTTAGACAGTAAAGTTTGGTCAGCCGGTTTTAGTGCACGAGTGCTTTGTTCAAAGGAACAACTCATGCTGACGTTTTGAAGATCTGGCTGACTTTTCGGAGGTGCAAACATGGTATCGCAATTCTAGAAGTTGTGAACAGAGAAACTCGAAACTTCTTCATAGCCGGTGCCAAGAAAAAAGAGCGAGAGAGAGAGAGTGAGAGAGTCTGCCCGGGCATGTTTTAGCGGGGCAGATAGAAACGAGTTGGAAGCGCACATGATGAATGAATGGTTAATTGGCAGACTGCTTTCCGAAAGTGTAAACAGAGGTGGCACCTGAGCCTCACGGTGTCACTTTGCGGTGTCTGTCCACTTCTTAGCAATTTTCAATTGAAATCAAATCGGGCTGAGTATTATATGGTTAGCGTAGGCGATAAAATAGCCTGTGGAAATTTTGCAAGTGCTTTTTTCTTTTAGTTATAATGGGTCCAGTTGTTTGTTAAACGAAAGACTGGGCACTGAAGCCGTACTACAGCCGTTTGTGGAGCAAGCCTGTCGGATACTCTACTTGTTACTTGCTTTAGGTGTAGGCTCGAAAAAATGAAGTGCCTCGAGCCAGCGTCTTCGATGGGCATCAAGTCGATACTAAGTGCGAATTCGGTGCCCGGTGTAGTGCACAGAGAAAAAGGAACTAGAGCACTAGTGTGACAGCTGATGTCGACTAATAAGAGTCAGAAAATAGAAACAAATCAAAAAGCCGAAACATATATTTTATTTCTTTTCAGTATTATATACCTTGCACAAGACAATACTTAAAGATAATTTCGTTATGCTTTTGCCGTTACCAATAATAATACCCAGGTCGTTTTGTCTTACGTACCTGTAGATGAATCGTAGTTCAATCTGATTTGTTAGGACATACATGGATAAGAGTTCCCATTTTCTTCATTTTTCCCCTTATTTTCTTCGCTTTTTCCCTTATTTTCTTCGTTTTTGCCCTTATTTTCTTCGTTTTTCCCCTTATTTTTTCTTCGTTTTTCCCCTTGTTTTTCTTCGTTTTTCCCCTTGTTTTTCTTCGTTTTTCCCCTTGTTTTTCTTCGTTTTTCCCCTTG